GTCAAGGTTAGTAAGTTGCGATCAAACTTTACCGCAAGCAATTATATGAAGAAGTGTGGCATTGTTGCTCGTATTGTTTGTTTGTAATTAAGCACAAATCTGCACAATGGGCTATCTGTGCTCTGCCCACCACGGGTATCGAAACCCAGATTCTAAGCGTCGTAAGTCCGCAGACATACCGCTGTGCCACTGGGGGGAATGTTGCTCGTTTAGAAATGAGTGAAACTAATAATGGCTGGAGACGGCTTGAGTGGGTAATGAAGAAAAACTTTAATATAAGTTTAATATCACAGCAAATGTAAAACGTTTCGACAAGGTTTTGTCATCATCAAGTACTTAGTCTCTAAGTCGGTTCCTCGTCATCGAATAAGAAGTTCGATAAATGAGTTCCTGGTAAGTACATACACGTATTAAAATTAAAGCGACGGAAACACGCGAATTAGAAAATTGTTGTTAAATCTAGAGTAAAACTAAAGCTACAATCAATCACGCTTTTTGATTGAAAGTAGTCGTGTAGGCGGTGGGTGCTAGTGAATCGTTTCCCTCCCTCTGGTCAGTAGTTTCAAAGAAGCGCCATGCTTTAACCTTGAGGGTTCTGACTTGGCTGTTTGATTGGTCTACGTAAGGTATATACGATGTCGTTCAGGTTGAAAAAACAAACACTAGGAAAACTAGACCGACAAAAACAGATACATAAATAAGTTTGGTATAATCGGTGAGTTTGTTTTAGAGCAAAGTCACACTAGGCTATCTGTTGTGTCCACCACGGGGAATCGAACCCCGGATTTAAGCGTTGCAAGTCCGTAGAATTACCGCTTTTCCACCGGGGGACCTCTTGGTGGGTTAGTGGTAAGTTTTCGGACTTACGATACTAAAATCCGGGGCTCAATTCCCCGCGGTGAACAAAGCAGATAGCCCACTGTGCAGCTTTACATGTTAACACAAAGAGTTTACTATTTATTATATACATTAAACACTGAAAAATAAACCGACAAGAACACGCAAATAAGTAAGTTGGTGGTGTAAGTGTATAGTAAAGTTAAACTGACGAAAACAAACACATATAATCAATTTGCAAGTAAGTACATAACAAAACTAAACCGACAAGAACACGCAAATAAGTAAGTTGGTGGTGTAAGTGTATAGTAAAGTTAAATTGACGAAAACAAACACATAATCAAGTTGCAAGTAAGTACATAACAAAACTAAACCGACAAGAACACGCAAATAAGTAAGTTGGTGGTGTAAGTGTATAGTAAAGTTAAATTGACGAGAACAAACACATATAATCAAGTTGCAAGTAAGTACATAACAAAACTAAACTGATGAGAGAACACACGGGTTAATTGGTAGAAAGTAAATCGTTATCAATAAAACATCATGAAAAAATAAGTTCGAAATAAACTTTAATCTTATGACCGTAAATAAATAATTTATATCCAAATGAAATGTCCCCCGGTGGTTCAGGGGTAAATTTATAGACTTATCATAATAAAATCCGGGGTTCAGTTCTTCGCTGTGGACAGAATGCAAATATCCTAACGTCTACACTTTGCACTAAGACAAAGTAAACTTTGCTTCATGACAACATATGGACAATAGGTACTCACGTAAGCAATGCATAGATAACAAGTTCCCAAGTAAACCTTAAATGACAATAGTAAATATGACAAGTTCCCAAGTAAACCTTAAATGACAATAGTAAATATGACAAGCTCCCAAGTAAACTTTAAATGACAATAATAAATATGACAGACTCCCAAGTAAACCTTAAATGACAATAGTAAATATGACAAGCTCCCAAGTAAACCTTAATTAATGACAGAAAATAGATAGAAATATCCTAAGTAAACTTTAACTGACGACAGTAAACAGATAATAAGTTACCATGTAAAACCTTACCTGGCGAAAATACATTGATAACATCATGATGAATGGTAAGATAGGGATTTCGGAGACAGCAAAACGTAGACGAAATTACAGTTCCTATTACTTACATAAGACCAGCACGACACAGGTGAAGAGTGAGAGTTATTATAAAACTACATATCTTCAAGGATTTGACCGTTCCAGGGCAGCAGTTAACTTTCCACTTTAGTGCTGTTCAAGCCGAATGTTTCGGAGCCTGCCGAACCTCGTTTAGTCTGTTGCTTACTCAAACGATCCGCCAACAGGTGGGGAATGTCGTCTAGCTAGAGTCTCAGCTTTACACTTTGTCGACATAGGTAATCACCACCCAGGGTGGGTAGACAGACTAGCATTTTCGTCTAGGCTGATGCGATTTGTCTTGGTAATACAGACTTACGGTCAAGGAATTTTCGTACTGTCGAGAAATTTTAAGGCATTTGAAGCTTATCGTCCTTTTGGGTGGTATATATTTAAAAAAAAAGTGGAACAGCGTTATTGGTTAAGGGTTAAAGTTGAGTAAACCACGTGACTGGGCCTGGAATTATTGCCTCCCTGAGGCAAGGCATGATCCACGCCTGTTTCTTTACGTGGGCTTCATCCAAAGCTGGCGGTTAATCATTAAAAAGAGAACGTATTGTGCCTAAGGCTACTGAGCCAATGAAGTTGGCGCACAAAATAATGTGACAGTTTTTTGTCACTAATTGCATTTTTTTTTCGTAAATACCAAAGAAAACTACCTGACTTATGCAAACCTTGAACCTTAAATGCTTACCACTACTAGTTGCTCTTATAGATAAATGTTTTAACATGACATTTTTTGTTAACAATTATCAGGTTAAATAAGAAGGTACAGTAACTCGGAATCTTTTCGTCGTTCATCACCTCACGAAATGCTCCTCAAGTAGAACGAATTGAATTCAACTCAAATGTTATCCAGTTATAAATAAGTTCTAAGGTGAATGGAGAGTTAAAATTGTTTTACGGAGTTAATGTTGTCTTTAGGTTAAGTGATAACTTATCAGTTCCTTACACATAAAGTTATCATATCTAACAGTTACCAGTTTTAGAAAAACGCAATTTTTTTAATAACAAGAAGACGTCATTTTAAAAAATAACCAACTTTAGAAGCACCTACGTTTATGGAGAAACGTTATCTTGAAGCCGTCATGTTCAACAGTAACAAGTTTTAAAAGAAGTGTCAACACCTAGACATCAAGTTCAACAATAATAGATTTTAGGAGCACCTATTTTCATGAGTAGGTTTTAACATGAAAACACAGAGTTCAACAGTAACCAGTTTTAAAAGAACCTATCTTTTGGATAAGTGTCAACACCTAGACACCAGTTCAACAATAAAAGATTTTAGGGGCACCTATTTTCATGGGTAGGTTTTAACATGAAAATACAGAGTTCAACAGTAACAAATTTTAGTAGAAGCTATTGCATATTAATTAACGTGAAGATGTCCAGTCCAGCCACAACAAGTTTTAGGAGCACCTATCTTTAGGAATAGGTGTTATAATGAAGATTTTATGTTCAACAGTTTTGGAAGAATCACTTTTTTTTTGAATAGGTGTCAACATGGAGATGCGAAGTTGAACAGTAACCAACCTTAAGAGTATCTGTTTTCAGGACTAGAAGTAATCACGTGGTACTTTTTGTAGATTAATGATATCTTATTACACAGATCTTATCATTCTATATATCATGCTATCGATTTTAATTTGAAGGTGTTATTAATACAAGGTAATCTATTTCCAGTTTCTTCCTCTTTAGCTTAGTTTACTAGTTTTTATGATTCATTTAGATTTCGTAAGATGCAAAATGTTTATTTTTTTTTGTTCCTGAAGTGACCGGGTGTGGCCTAGTGATTAGCATTACCAGGCTGCGAATCACAATATACAAGGTTCGACATGCGATATGATGCTGAACAAGCGTCACACTTTCAGCTTTGGGGTGGGGTGGGGGGATTAGAATAGTGATAGTCCATCCATGCTACCAAAACCTTCTAAGTTTTTCTCGTTGTTTTGTTTGAGTATTATTGCATCATAATATCTCGTAGTGTGTAGAACATTCTAGGCCACAGTCAGGTTATAAATATGCATACAGTTAGTTATATGGAAGATATAGTTAATTAGAGATGTATAGAGACAGACCTGAACTGCATGATTTTAGCCATAAAGAGTGTATAGTGGCAATTTTTAAAGTGAAATCCTTACAGATTGTATTGTAATAAACGAGCAGAGAAGAAATATTTTGTCTTGTCGGTTGTGTTCTAAAGGAACTGAACCAACCTGTGTGGATTTTGACCAAAAAAAAGACAATTATTTAAAGCTCTGAATAGAACTATTTTAATTAAATGTGTAATGAACATTTGCATATATGTTTAACTTGTTGTAATATATATTATTTTAAAACAGATTACCTGTCGACAGTTCAAAAGATGAGGTCATAACTATAGATAAAGTACACAAACACTGGAACTTAGCTGCTATTGTTTTTTTAGAAGAAATCAAACGAAGCATATCTTGTAACAATCCAAGGTTCAATCCAAGGCAGAGTATAGAGAGTTGTTTGTAAGCCCACCCTGGTTATGCTTTTCTAAATAGCTTTTTCAGGTAAGACTTAAAGGGGGGGGGAAACTATTATTTTGGATAAATATATGAAGCTGCTTATTGGGCCATTTTGATTTCAATCCGACTGTGGAAGGAATCCTTAAGACAGGAATAAAATACGTTCATTATAATGAAAGAGTTAGTTTTGTCAAAGCTAGACTAAACTTTAAATTATAGCATCAGCATGCAATATTTCACACGAGCCACATCTGTATAAGTACATATCCACATTTAAGTTTGTGAAATTAGTAATGGCGGAACTTATTCTAGCTATTTCTCAAGAATCACTTCTATGAACTTTAACCCTGAGGATCTAAATATAACACACGTGTCAGTTTTATGAAAAACAAAACACCAGTTTTTAAATTTAGGGTAAGTACGGGTAAAATTTTAATGGGCGACAACATAAAAAACAAATTTATTGTAGCAGCTCCTTAGCTCAGAAGGAGTTACGTTTGTTGTAAACTAGTAGAGTCAGAGCTGTGGAATCAGATTGAGAGCTAATTCTTATTATATAGCAGAAATAATTAGCCCATTGAATGTTGGTCTAAAGTTTTGAGGTATCTGAAGTTTACACACAAATTAATTTCATCAGATATCTGGTATTTTCAGTCTGAACGGCACCTTATTCAACTCATGGATTAAACGAATAGGTCAAGGACCCTACGGTTCAGATATATGTTGACCATAATTTTTAGAACTGTTGACCAAACAGAGGGCAAGCATACAATAACATTCGTCGTTTACGCGACTTCTCTTATGCAAATAACGGAACTAACTGTCACTTTTATAACGCGCCCATAGCTAAAAGTGCGTAACGCGCTTAGTGAACGTGTCGCGACTCGAGCCTTGGAGTTTCCGATCCACAACCAAGTAGGCTAATAGTTAGGCCACGACCTGCCAATTTCTGCCTTATTTAGTCTATTTTATAATAATTTTGCATACCTTGTCTTAACTCTAAGTGTAGCCGCGCACTAAAGTTCCAAAAAAGCATTTTCCTCAGACGGAACATGCCTAAGAAGTGATTTTTGCAAAGCTGTTCGTAAACACAGAAGACGACGTTATCAAACTTTTCCTTCAATCTCTGTCTGGAGCCCGGCATGGCCAGGTGGTTAGGGGGCGCTCGATTCGCAATCTGCGGGTCGCGGGTTCGAATCCCCGTCACACCAAACATGCTTGCCCTTTCAGCCGTGGGGGCGTTATAATGTGACGGTCAATCCCACTATTCGTTGGTAAAAGAGTAGTCCAAGAGTTGGCGGTGGGTGGTGATGACTAGCTGCCTTCCCTCTAGTCTTACACTGCCAAATTAGGGACGGCTAGCGCAGATAGCCCTCGTGTAGCTTTGCGCGAAATTCAAAGCAAACAAACAAACAATCAATCTCTGTCTGAAAGTTTCTCGTTGCACGTGTTCGTGTAATGAGGACAACGAAAAATGTCGATAGCAACAGAGTAATAAATTACACCAACATTTATGTTCCGGTTACTTTTCAGCTCTGATAAAAATCATTGCGCAAGTTTATTTCAGCATATTTTACTAAGGGTATCGACTATATAAACTCGTTATAAGTTGGGTCATTTGGGTTTACCTGCATTTGTTTGGGTCGGAAAATGGGTCATCGAAGACTACGCCTACAGTGTCAAACTTGTACCACATATATTTTTAATAGTCATAATTGCTAATAACCGATCATATATTACTGTTAAGATAAAAGTTTACATAACATTTCTAAGGCTGAATATATCCGTGGACCTGTGATATTGTTTTACTAACGTGAGCGTTACAACGTCACTTCTAACAATTGTCAAATAACAGTTATAATCACTCGACTGTGTAAGTGTTGTTATTGATGTTATTTTTAGCGAAAAGTTACATAAAGGGCTATCTTTGCTCTGTTCGCCTCGGGAATCGAACCCATATTCTATCGTTATAAGTTTAGTGCTGATCCACCATTGGACGAGAATGTCAGCTCTATGATATTGTGTACACGTAAAAGTTTAGCTTCTCCCCCCCCCCCCTCTTTCTACTTTGTTTCAGTTAATTACAATGATACTCCTGGTGACTCAGCGGCAAGTCTGGAGGCTTATAACGCTCAAAATCGGGTTTCGATACCCGCGGTGGGCAGAGCACCTGTAGTCCATTGCGTAAGTTTGCGCTTAACAACAAACAATTAAATACAATGATGTATAGTTGCAGAAATAACAAAATGACAGAGGAATGTACGTAATACATTTATTTTACAGCATCCGTGGTCTGAAAGGAAAAAAATATATATTTCTTTTTATCATAAGTCATTTCAACTCTAAATATTTCTGAAAGATTTGATAATTATTTACTTGGTGCAAAGGAATATGTCGTTCTTAAATTTAAGACAAATGTGCATAGACTATTATCATTAAAAACCTTACTTTTATCAACCATAAATAATACGGTGCTTGCTAACTCCTCATCAACCATCGAAACGTTATTAACAAATCTGACAAACAACAACACAAAACAGCCATACGAAATGCAGTATTGACGTCCAACTTTTCGGGATGTGTGTACATATTAAGAGATTATGTTCGTGTGAAATATTAAGTTTTTTTTTTTATTAGCCTCTTCGATACAAAATATTAATGGAAAAGTTGGTGTATTAAGCGTTCGGAGGGGGGTGGCCGCTTTTCGAAGTGAAACCAAAAATTGTGGTATAATTAGTTTTTGCGCATCCACCTGTTTGATTTTAGCTACCATAACAGTAATTGTATTATGTGACGTTTTAGGTGAAATCGAATAGCGAACTCTCTTGTTTTCATCAGCTTTTCCTTGAG